ACAACACATTCCAAAAAAGTTGGGGCGAGGACAACAAAAGGCTGGTAAAATTGTGTAATGCTAAAAAAAACACCTGGTGGTTGATTGGCAACAGTTCAGTAACATGATTGGGTATAAAAAGAGCATCCCAGAGAGGCTGAGTCTTTCAGAAGTATAGATGGGGAGGGTTTACCACTCTGTGAAAGACTGCCCCAGTCAAATAGTGCAACAATTCAAGAATAACATTTTTCAATGTAAAATAGCAAAGACCTTTTGTTTTTCATCATCTACGGTACATAATAACATTAAAAGATTCAGAGAATCTGGAGAAATCTCTGTATGCAAGGGACAAGGCCAAAAACCAGTATTTGCTGGCCGTGATCTTTGGGCTCTCAGGCAGCACTGCATTAAAAACAGATATGATTCTGTAGTGGAAATCACTGCATGGGCTCAGAAACACTTCTGAAAACCACTGTCTGTGAACACAGTTTGGCGCTGCATCCACAAATGCAAGGTAAAACTGTAAAATGCAAAGAAGATACTGTACATGAACAGGATCCAGAAATGCTGCCACCTTCTCTGGGTCTGAGCTCATTTAAAGTGGACTGAGGGGAAGTGGAGAAGTGACCTGTGGTCCGACAAATCAACATTTGAAATTCTTTTTGGAAATCATGGATACTGTGTGCTCCAGGCTAAAGACCACTCGGTTTGTCATCAATGTACAGTTCAAAAGCCAGTATTCATGATGGTACAGGGGTGCATTAGTGCACATGGCGTGGATGACTTGCACATCTGTGAAGGCACCATTAATGCTGAATGATAGATACGTTTTGGCAACATATGCTGCCATCCAGACGACGTCTTTTTCAGGGAAGGCCTTGATTATTTCAGCAAGACAATGTAAAACCACATTCTGCATGTATTACAGCAGCATGGCTCTGTATTAGAAGAGTTTGGGTGCTAAACTGACCTGCCTGCAGTCCAGACCTGTCACCCACTGAAAACATTTGGAGGGTTATGAAATGAAAATATGACAAAGGAGACCCTGAACTGATGAGAAGCTGAAATCCTATATCAGACAAGAATGGGAAAACATTTCACTTTCAAAACTACAGCAACTGGTCTCTTCAGTTTCCAAACGCTTACAGAGTGTTGGTAAAAGAATAGGTGATGAAACACAGGAGTAAACATCCCCCCGTCCCAACTGTTTTGGAACTTCTTGTTGGCATCAAATTCAAAATGGCCATATATTTTTCAAAAAACAATAAAATTTCTCAGTTTCAACATTTGATTCGTTGTCTTTGTAGTATTTTGCAGTATTTTTGTATTCTATTTTTAGTTACATTCTGCACAGCGTCCCAACTTTTTTGGAAATGGGGTTGTATTTTAATCAACATGCTCATGATATTGTGGTGGCTCATGAACCCTGTACAAATACCTGAGAAGAAAATGAATTAACCTGCTTACTTTCACTTAAAGAGAGCTCTCAGAATTAAGAAGGTTCTATCTGCGTTTAGTCCATTCCTGAAAAGGCTATTTCTAATAACCCTACAGTTTTAACACCTGAAGACTATGGCTTTGTTAGGATATGAATGGTGATTGTGCTGCATAAAGGTGTACTACTTTATAAGTGAAGTCTTTGACTCTCATATCTCAAAACTGCACTAAAAGCATATAGAACTTTAGAACTCTAAGATGACGATGAGCAACCACATATTATGATTGCACCTTCCTCTTCTCACCGGTGTAGCTGAGTCATTCTCTCTAGTGGCTGGCCTGTAAAACAAAAATGGATTAAATTATTTAAATGTTTATTTTTGCCTCATAAAGTTTTGCCTGTGGTAGGAGGAGGTTGTGAGAGTGAGTCATGATCCCCCAGTGTCTTCCCTCCACAGGTAGAGATTACACACCTTCACCCCTCTCAGGCCTGGAGCTACACACTGTGCAGGCTTAGCGCTACAGATTTTTTCATTTGAGAACAGAGCGATTTTATTAGCTCACATACTATATAATCAAATGAGTCCTTCACAATTTGAAAAGGACATTGTTGTTGTTGTTGTCGTCAATATATATTATGTTCATTTTGGAATACCTATCTTACTTAGGCTGCCAAGGCCTAGAAGCCAGTTTTTCAGGAACAAGAACTGACCCAAAGAGGAACTTACAGTTCTAGATCTAGTTCATTTTCCACCTGCCGCAGAGACAAATGGTACCAATTTAAAGCTCTAATTTGGCTAATTAGCTATCTTGTTTGTTAAAAAAAATGCTTAAACAAGCATGAATTTCATGCTGGTCTAAACTGGATATTGGTCTTTAGCTGGTCATCTAGGATGGCCATAGCACAACAGACAACAGGCCTGTTGTTAGCCCATTAAGTTAGCATGAAAAGTACCCCAAAACTTGAAAGAAGCATGTAGATGTGTATCACTTGTGCACAGAACATATTACATGCTGTAAAATCAAACATCACCTCTTGCAGGATTAAAAAAGTCAAGCAAAGCTTGTTTTTTCCTATTGAGAGTGTGAAGTGATGCATTTGCTATCAGCTTAACTTAAGCTACAGCTTAACACTAATAGTTCTGACAATTATAAGAATATGAACAAATAAACACAAACACTTGTTTAGTGAAAGTTCGCACAAATGCTAATGTCACCCTAATGAACTTTACATATTTTTTGTGCTTACTTGTACTAGTGTAATAGTGTACCTGCAGTAGTGCACTGTTAGTAATAAAGGTTCTGTGCAGGTACATTCTCCACTCATTAAAGTTCAAACAACTTTGCCCTATCTGCCCTATGGTTTTTAAAGTGGTAAAGGACATATTTGTACCTTTTCATAACCTAATATTTTAAAACAGAACAGTAAAATAAAAAGCCTGGAGACGAGACGGGGTGTATGGAGTCAGTACAGCTTAGAACATATATTTTTAATTGGATTATGGTACAGTTATGGTCCCTGACTAAAGGTCCTGAGATGTACCCTTTAGGAAACCACCCCAGTGACAAGAGGTGCACTGCCCCAGGTGCACTGTACCTTTTTTCTGAGAGTGTGTGTGGTGACTTTATCCTCATCTGTAAGAGCTGTTAGCGTCAGCTGCAAGTGTTACCAAAGAGAACACCGTCCCTGCTGAAAAAACACCTTAGACCAGCAGTTCAGCTGAGACATGCTGGTTTATGCTTTTCTTGTACTGGTTTAGCTGGTCACCCAGCATGGTCATGCTAGGTTACCAGCACACCAGCATCCAAAACACAACATGTTGTGTGGTGACCAGCTATGTTGGTCTGTTAGGGCCTGTTGGTTCTAATCTCAAGCAGGTACCAAAACCCATGAAATTGGAACCTTCAGTACAGGACCAAAAAAGCACAGTCCCAGTTATCTGGTGCCAAAGGTTCTGCTACTTTGAAAAAACACTCTTAGCATTAATGACCTTTGATTCTTAAGGCATTAAATTCTGGTCCTTATAAATTTTTTTTCTTGAAGTTACTTTGCAACTTTTTCTAAATACAGTAGTTCCTGAGAAATGATGTTGCTTCTGTTTTGAACTTTTTCTGGATAATGGTCACTTTGAAGACAAATGAGACCATTTTGACTGCCCATTTTTGGAGATGGATGGAAGTAATGATGTTGTAATTCCCTAGTGAGACTGGTAATACATATAAATGTCTCTCTCTCGCTCTCTCTCTCTCTCTCGCTCTCTCTCCTCTTTTCCTTTTGTGGGTCTGTGAGTCTGTATGTGTTTTGACAGGCAGTAAGGCTCCTTTAAATCTTTTGTCCAGAGACCGATCAGGGTTAACAGATGTCGCCTCTGAATCAATTAGACAGAAGCCCCTTAATAACCTTAACGACCCTTAACAACCTTTGCACTAATTAATGAGCAGCCCTGACAGAGGGATGACCCACATGCTGCACACACACGGCTAAATGTCACAGAGGGCCACATGGCCTGGACACACACACACACACACACACAAACACACACAAACACGTAATAATGATATATCCCATATATATACCTGGCTGTTAACATTCAACCACATCTTTCATTAAAGGTTTGTCCTATATATATATATATATATATATATATATATATATATATATATATATATATATATATATATATATATATATATGTGTGTGTATATATCAGAGATTATGCCTAAACTAAGACTAATGTGGATTATTAATGCTGATTCATTCCAAGTCTAGACTTAAGTCATATCTGGGACATTAAACATATTTAGCAATAATGACTGTATTTTGAATATTTGCTATTACAAATTGTAACTTGGACTGAATACAGTCACTTTCTGCATTCTGAATATTTATTCCCAATATTTATAGTCAATTACATTCCAACCCTGTTTACATCTGATATTTTGATTGAGTTCACTCCCTAAACACAGCTAGTGCCAGTGTCCATGTGCTTGGGGTCTTCAGTGTTTTCGGGTCAGCCTGCACTGTATTACCATAACAATACAGCATATGTGTTTCATCCAGGGGATACACGCTGACAGACAAAGATGCAGTCACAGCTACACAGGCTGAGGAAGAGAGGTGAGCGCGGGACTGGAGAGGGGGATGGGGAGAGGAGGGGAGTGGCTCTTTTCTTCCTCCGTCTGCTTTCATATCTTTCTGTCTTTGCCTCTAATAAGGCAGCGAGTGCGCTGGCTTTACAGAGCTGCTGAAGTGAACGCAGTTATCTAAGAAATAGCACGGCAGAGGGAGGGATGGAGAGAGCGAGAGAGAGAGAGAGAGAGATGGTGATGGAGTCAAAGAGAAGCATCAGTGTTGACTAACGACACACCACTCCTCCATCTGTTACTACACCCACCTGCTAATGTAATGACTAGACGAGAGAGAGAGAGAGAGAGAGAGAGAGAGTGAGTGAGAGAGAGAGTGAGTGAGTGAGTAGTGTTATGAATCAAGGGGAGGGGGTGGGAGGAGAGAAAGAAAGAGGAGGAGAGGAGGGGGTTTGTGTGTGTGGACGAGCGAGAGAGAGAGAGAGAGAGAGAGAGAGAGATAGAGGGAGGCAGCAGCAGCCAGATAGTGAAAGGATCAGTGAAGAGACCGTCTGAGAGAGAGAGAGAGAGAGAGAGAGAGAGAGAGAGAGAGAGAGCGAGAGACCTAGACAGATAGAAGAGAGAGAGAGAGAGAACCATACATATATACGGAGGGGAATAAAGGTAGGCTCTTCTTCTTTGCTCTTTTTCTATAACCTATTATGTTGCTTCAGTGTTTTTGCTTTCCTGCAATCAGTGCATCTAGAGAGGCTGCGCTTGCCAGCTGGTGACATATGTGTGGAAAAAAAAAAAGCTCAGTAAGAGCATCACTGCAGATTGACTGCAGAACGAGAGAGAGAGGGATGAGTGCGAAGAGGGAAATGGAGAGAGGGAGAGGCAGCGCTTAAGCATCTGCTGTGGTGCTACACACTGAGAGAGCGAGGCTGGACAGAGGAAAGAGAGAAAGAGACAAAGGGACTGTTTTTAGGGGTGTGAACACATTTCAATGCGAGAGAGTGTGGTGGGTTGAGTGTTTTCAGTGCTTTATGTGGGCACAACATCAAGAACATGCATGCTTCACTTGTGTTATGCATGTTTCTGTGCACGTCCGTCAGACCTATTAACACAATTTTAGCATCACAGGACTAGAATACTTTCACAGCGACAGCATCACTCAGATCACTGTTCAGTAGTTCAATATGGAGCATCCCATTAAAGGAAAACTCTGTTTCTCAGCCTCATCTATAGCTGCTATTATAAGTGCACTTACTAAAGAAGCCAATGGGCAGGTGCTTCAGCATGTAAGTGGCTATATGTATAACACGTCCCATATGTATTATATACGCTATATGTTCTGTAAGTGCTATGGGCGAGTTTTAGAGACAGGGATCAAGCCTAAGAATAGAATAACAAGGATTGTTATCACAATTGGTATTGCAATTAGTCCAAGACTAGGTTTAAATCATATCTAGGAAACCAACCCTATATGTAATAACAATAATATGTCCCATATATGTATACAAGGTATGCAAGGTTTTGTTCCTACAGCAATGATATGTAGGCAGCTATATAATATTGCCATATAAAATATATATGTATGTATGCAAGTATCTATATGTAATAATATGACCCATACATATTGTAAATATATAAGTAACTATATGTAATGAAGTATAAAACACCACATACTACCTTGTTAGCTAAATCTGCAGTTTAGCTCTTCACAGCAGACACTGCATCAAAGTAGAGCTGTGTAATTCTGTGAAAAGTAAAATTCAAATATCGATGTGGTTGATTAGTAGGATTAGGTCTGAGGACAGTTGTGCTCTACAGTGCACATATTAACCCAGTTGATTTGGGTCCAGGGCCCTGACCATTTAAATGTCTGATTCTGAGTGCCATAACTGCAAAAGCACATGAAAAAGTGGTCTAAAAAATAAATAAATAAATTAGTCTAGGGGCCACACATGATCTTGTAACCAGAACATCTGGTGACAACAATGAGAAACTTTGGGCTAAATGTGGGTGGAAATGTAGACGTATTAGGGTAAAAACGAACTGTGTAAAATTTTAAAACCAGGCCAGCACATGACAGTGGATATCAAAGTGAGGGGTGTTGGTGCACACATCAACATTGTCTAATGTAAGTTGGCCTGGCAAGGCTGAAGAGTCCCCAGAAAACTCCAATTCATGACAATAGCTTGTTTTGCTTTATGATTTCTGAAAAGTAACCAAATGCATGTTTTAGTTCATTTTTATCTAGTAGAATCATCATGATTGTTGTATTTGAACTCTAGTATTGCAATGATACTCTTATTTCATTGTGAAATTTTGGTTGAAAACAAAAGGCTTCAATTCTTGAACTGCCCAACAGAAAGTTATCCAATCAGGATTTTTTTCTCTGTGATACCTAGACAGATACAGCCAATAGAGATGTCCCATTGGTTTGGCCTTCAGGAGCTGAACTGAAGGCCTTCCAGTTAGACTTAACCATACCAACATGATAAGCAAATGTCAATGAAATCAGCCAATCATGTTTTGATTCACAAGTTTCAGTCAGCAAAACTGTAAAATTGCTACAAGGCAAAATATATGTTAATAGGTCTGTTACAGAGTTCACATAAAACATAAAATCTGAAAGTTGTTTTCCTACTTTTTGTCCGAGTTTTTACATTTATGTCCCAAATTGAAAGCGTAGCCCACATTGTCACAGTTCATCACTGGCGTCTAAACTTGTAATCTTCAGATTATGCTGGAATCCAGCACCAAAAGTTTATCCACAGACGTGTTTTCTCACAGCTGGCCTCACACAACGACTGAAAAATATGCTAACATTGCTGAGATTTGTTCTTCTAAGTTATTGATAGTTTTGGTAGTTTTTTTACCCTGTATTTTACCAACATACCAAGCATATTCATTTTACTGTCTGACCTGTAAGGAATGCTGGAAGATCATGTGTTGAAGTGACAGTTCATTTGTAGATTGATTTATTTTGCCATATATAGTTATATGGTTTTATGTATGTCCTCTGCATTTCTCTTTTGTGATAAATATGTATCGAGAGGGGAGTGGTAGTGGTCCCACGATCATGTAAGCCCAGTGCCTTAGCATATCTTGAAACTCCCATATCCTACATTTTTCTTGAATTTTATTGTTTTATCCGTGTGCTAAAATAATTTCATGACGTTCATTTAATATGACCATTTCCAACATCACTCTATCCCTTACGCTTAAACGGGCTGTGCTTTCAAGACTGATGTATGTAAATGATCTCTGCCCTGCATTGTGCCTCATTCAAAAAGCAGTCTGTGTGACATTACAAAAACAATGCACTCATATAGAGCAGTTTGCGTTGATCATTTTTACATTTCATTTCATCAAATCTATATATCAATATGATCATCCGTTCTGTGAGGAAAATACAATTTTTCATGATATGGACCCTTTAATATGGCCCTGCTTTTGCTACCAGTCAGAAACTCCTAAAAAGGTCTGTTCCAGGTCACGATTTACAGATCCTGATGGAAACCTGATGGATCTTGTTTTATTTGAAGTGGGGGAGATAGGCTTAGGGAGGTGGGGGGAATATTATCTGGTCTGCGTAACCTTTCAAACTCTAAATGGGCCAAATTATTTACATATTAGTTTATAGTTTTTAAGTAGTTACTGAATAATTCATAGTAACTCAGTAACAAGTTTTAAGATTACAACTGATTAATAAACCTGCAATTTAAGGGGTTAAGGTTGCCTGTAGCTACTGTAGCCACCTGACCTCTATGGAATCAGTCATTTCTGTAAAGCTACTTTCAGTGCACACTTCAACCCACTTCAAAATATTATAGTATATTATATGTTCAATATGTAAGTTCATTTCATAATGTATCCCCCATCTGTGGTGCCCCAGCTGGAGATTGATCCTTTAATTATGCTGTGTAGGCCTATTTAGGACCATAAAGAATTTCTCTATTTAGAGCAATAACAGGCTTTTGCATTCAAATATATACTTGTCCAGCATGTGTGCCTTCACCTAGGTCCATTCACATGATGTTTTTATCCAGATTGACTTACAAAAGGTGAGGCTAAAGTGATACAAAGTACTCAGAGAATCTGCAGAAATGTCTGACCTAAAAACAGAAGGCTTTTCACAGTTATCATAGCTTGATCTAGTTAAATATTGAAGAAGTAGACACTGAGGGCTGGTACTTTTGAAATAAAAGGTAAACAGTAAACACAAGTAGAAAGAACATATATAAACTGCTCATTGCTCGTGCCGCTTCCTGCTAGTGGTTCAGTCTAAAACGCTTCCATCAAACAGATGCATCATGCCTTAGTCAAATCCACTAGAGCTATGCAGCAGAGGCTTGTGGAAAAACCCCAGAGCAGCTTGCACAGGCTAAAGACACAGCAGGCCTCAGCCTGGGCAGGACTGCTACAGCGCACAAATGCTGAACAGCTCTCAACTGGGGCATTCGACCGAAGAGCACTGTAGAGAGTGTGACGACTATCAGCTCAGGACGCTTTATTCATTCTGCAGTGGAAGCTGCTTCTGGTTATTGTTGATCTCCAGCTTGTGCAAAATGCCAGGCTACACTGTAAAAAGTGGCTCGTCAGATCTTTTTAAATTTCCTTCATGTAGTAAAAAGTAAATTAACTAGTTTTATTCAACCTAAATAAATACTTTGAATGAACGATTCTTTCAGAGTATTTTTTTTTTTCAGTTGGATAAAACTAGTTCAATTGCTTGTTACCACATGAAGTCATTTTTAAGTAGATTTGACGAGCCATTTTTTACTGTGTATGACTACATGTGCATTTCCAATGCTATGTTTAAAAACTCCTTTAAGTTGTGTAGGACTTAAGATACCTGTTCTTATATTTGGTTTAACTTTATTACTTAAACAAGTGGAGAAATTTGGTGCAGATTTTAAGCAACATTTTAAACAAAATTTCAGATTTAAGCTAAATTTAAAACTAAATTCCAGATTCTAAATGAAATTTAGAGTTTAACTCCAGATTCTGAACTAATTTTAAAACTCAATTTCAGATTCTAAATTTTGAACTCAGCTCAAGATTCTACACTAAATTTAAAACTAAATTCCATATTGTACATTACTTTTTAAACAAAATTCCAGATTCTAAGCTAAGTTTAAAACTAAATTCCAGATTTTAAGCAAATTTAAAACTAAATTCCAGATTCTAAATCAGAATTTCAGAATTTCAGATTCTAAATTCCAAATTTATTGTTGAGTTGTTGTTGTGTGTGCAGTGTTGTGGTAAAAAAAAATATTGTTCATCACTGAAACAAATATAACTCTGTTCTAAAGAGAGGATTTCTAGTGCTAAGAAGGTATTAACCTCTACTGTACAGGCCTAATCTGAGTGTGGGGTCTGCATGAACTTTGTTAACATCAATACATGTGCGAAAGTCAGAGAACACCCTTCATCTATTTAATTTCCGGACAAAACCACCATTAAGAACAAGTTATTTATTTTTCAGTGTCTGGAAAAAAACAGAAAACATATATTTAATAGAAAATTCTGCAGAAGCCTCAAAAACTGAATATAATGTATTTTTTCAGTATTTAGCAAGCCCACTTATTGTCTTTATTACAGCTTCCATTCTTTTAGGAGCATTCAAACTGAAACACATCTGAAACATATTCAGTGATTTTGAGGTTTGGACT